TTGAAGTCTATGTACCCCCATGGTGACTGATTTTTATGCAAACGAACCCGACAAACTCCAGTATCTGAAATGTTCAAGACTGGCTCCATTGCATTCAGGATAGTTGGAAGGAAATACATTCTTTGTGAACTGGTTGTCTGCACAGGATGTGCATTAGACTATGCAACCCTCCAGGGACTGCATTTCTTGGATATTATGTGCAAACCAAAGAAAAATGCCCCCTGAAGCTGTAGCTCTCTGTCCAGCTCTGGAGGCCTCCTTGGAATGTAGAGGGGCTGCCCATTCTGTAAGAATGTGGTTTACACGCTGTGTTCTATGATCCCACAGGCAGAGGAGTAGCAGGAATTGAATCTGTTTAGCAGGATGTCTTTATGTGGGAAGATTTCTTGCTATTTCCTAAATGCTTATTTGCTTATTTATTCATAAATGTAAAAAGCACTTCTTTTTCCCAGTGTTTCCATATTACAGCCCAAGTAACAGGCACTTACCAATGATGTGCTAAGAAGTACCAGATAATCCTCAATTAAACATTAATAAATATGTTGAAGTAGCATAAAAAGTGCTTTCGCTTCTTCCAAGACAGAGCGAGGGATGGTTAGCGTTTCTTTTGTTGAGTGCTATGAGAAAGGCAAGTTAGATCTGTGAGTTGAATATATATTATCAATTCAGGCACTTTCCCCAAGGCTTTGCTTTGCTGACTGCTAGTTAACATCTTCCTTGGTTAATTTTGAATTTGTTTTATTATTCAGCCAGTACTTCGAATATTATTGCTACCCTAGTAGTCATGGCCAGTCAGCCACGTTTATCCCATCTGCTGTGTGCAGTGCACTGTCTGCAATGCTGGCCTTGCCCTTGACCCACAAGCCCAAGTGATATTAACCATGTCTGCAGAGTTTAAAAGCAAGAAAAGCTAGCAGAAAATGATCCTGGCCACTAAAAGACTGAGAGAGGTACAGCGGGACCCACACCTATGGGGGACTTAGAGCAGAGTCACTAATGCAGCGTCTGCAGAGCTCACTCATCTGTTTACTGTTTTAAAATCCTCTATTTTGAAATACATGTGCAATTAGAAGAAAGTCACAGGTTTAGTTAAAAAAAAAAAAAAGTCTGTGTTTCTCCCTCCTTCCAAGGCCCACATCATGCCGAGTCTTTCCTGATCTCCTGACTGCAGCCTTCAGTTCTCAGGAGCCACCACTGGCAGGACCAGGTGTGTGTCCACAGCCTGCAGCCTCCCTGTCACGAAGTCAAGGAGCTGACACACGCTTCTGTCCAGTCTGCCCCTCACCACTGACCCCAAGGATGTGCCGCCCCCTGCGGTTCAGGACCAGTAGTGTATGATTGGGCTCTGGGGTCCCTCTCCTTGACAAGATTCTTCTGCAGTCACTCTTTTGTGGACTTCTGTGACCTTGAAAGTTTTGAGGAGTGAGGCCCTTGCATCCTATTGGACGACCCTCAACATGGTCCGTCTGTGGCTTTCAGGGGCTCCTGGAAACACCGTGGTGCCTTCTCCGCACCTCACACCCTGCACCGTGCAGTGCAGACCTGTCTGTCCATTGCAGAGGTCACTGGCCTCACCTGCACACACGTGGTCTCCAGGTTTCCCTGCTGCAAAGTTTCTGTTACTGACCAGTGTGTCATCCAAGTTTCTCTGGGAGTTTTGCCCGTCACCAGCCTCCCTTACCTTTCACCAGCCAGGGCTCTATTAGTGCAGTTGTCTGGGTTCTTACCTGTGCAATGGGCTGTGGTCACCATCATCCTCACTGGCTTTGCTTCTCAGTTTACCCCGTTGTGGCCACAGGCCTCAGGTGGCGCCTGTGCTCTGTCTCAAGTCCCCTCAGTCTTTCAGCCCTTCCTCACATTTTGGTACAGGATGCTCCAGACCCTTCCCAGGAAGCCCCTGCTTCACCCCAAGGGTCACCCCTTTCTCAAGGCTGCACCATGCAGTGCAGACCTGTGTTTCCCTCCCAGAGGGCAGTGTTTAGGATCTGGACCTGGGCTTGCTGCATTGCTCCCAAGACTTTATTGTTTCTGAGGCCGTCTCGCTAAAAAAGATAAGGGAATGAAGACAAAATGAAAATAGGTGAAAACACCGCACATAGGCGTCTGCAGTGGTTTCTATGTCTGCCCATGTGTTTGTGGTTCAGAGGAGTAGCATCGCTCAGTTCTGGCTCCCTTCCCCTTCTGTGACTATAAAGACCAGGCTGGAGTGACAGGCATGGGATGCCACTGTAGTGGTGCCGGCCCTTGGTAGGCTCTGCTTCTCTTGACCCATTCCTTCTTTTATTCCCTTGTGCACATCTGAGGGCTGGAAAGCCAGGCAGTCAGTCCTGGAGAGGTCGGGTATGGGAGGCGATTAGGCACCCAGGACCTGGTCCCTGAAGAAGTGAGGATAGCCTGGCTGGCTGGGAAAGCAGAGGAGGTGTCTGAGGGAGACAGATGCCACCTGGGAGAGTCACCAGGGCATAGACGTGCAGGAAGAGGACCAGTGAAGGCCCCTAACGGAACGACAGACAGGATAGGATGGTGCCTTTGGTATATGTGCTGCCGAAGCGAGCACAGGATGGTGCCTTTGGAAGAAAACGAGTTTGATCATAGAATTGAAGAGTTTTATGGTTTTCTATTCATGTTGTTCATGAAAAGGATTTTAAGTGGCTTCTGAATAAACAAATGGGGGCCTCTAAACTTGGCTTTTATCAGAAGCGTTTTTATCAGGAGCCAGATCCTGTGGCAGGGGACAGGCACAGTGACACAGTGTCATGCTGAGGGAGCTGGGCATGTGCAGGGAGCTGGCAGGCCGGCTGGGTCTGCAAGGTTCCTACAGAGGGGAGCTGGGACCTGCCCAATGGGGAAGACGCACCTGGGCGAGATGTGGGCGGAACAGCTGGAGAAGGAGTGGCAGCTCTGCTCAGCAGGGGAGAGCGGCTTCGCTTCCCTAGTTGCTGAAGTCCAGCCTGTCAGAGGATACCCAGAGCCTGGCCGCTTGTCACCACCTGCCTTTCACTTCCGGTCCTGGCCTCTTCAGGTGAAGATCAGTGACCTGAGTGCTCCTGGCATCTGCTCTTCTACAAGGTCCCCAGCAGAGCTGCCGGGGGATCCTGCTAACTATGAGTTGGGTCACACACACCTCTGCTCAGAGCCCTTTCGTGGCTTCCATTTCCCTTCGTGTCAGCAAAGCCCATACAATGGCCTGTGTGGCTCTGATGACCAGTCCTGCCCACCCTATATCCTTGGTTTGCCTACAGGGTTGCTCCTTAGACAAAGGCATGTACTGCCTCAGGGCCTTTGCATGGATGGTGCGCACCCTCTGCCTGGACCACCCAGTCAGTGGTCAGGATGGAATCTGGGGAGCCTAATGAGCTGCTTTTAGTGAAATGGGAGTAGAATACTACTTCCTGTTGCCAGCCAGTGGCAACACTGGCAGCAAAATGGGAGTGGCAGTTGCTCATGGCCAGTGGAAAGCGGAAGTAGAGAGGCACTGAGAGGTTGGATATGGTGGCTGACATGGTAGTGTTGCTGCTGACAGCCCTACGCCTGTTTCTAATCACAAAAGAGAAATGGCTTTACATGTCCATTCTTTCCCAGGCCAGGAAAGCATAGACTTTTGCTAAGGATGGGCATTTCCTGGAATAACTTCCATTTTCCTGTGGAATTTGCCCAAGAGTGTGACCTTTGGTAGCCGGTGCACCGTTTCTGGGGTTTGGTTTCACAGGATTGGCTCGCGTTCTCTGAGCACCTTCATCTGGGCGTGCGTGTGCCTTGCAGTTCGGCAAAAGGCAGAGAGAGGCTGGGCTGGGTTCTTTCCACGGCAGTACTGAAGGGTACTGTGCATAACACCCAGTCCTTTGGACACTTACTAAGTGCCAGGCACAATGCTGGATGCTTTGTGTGGATTGTCTCAGTTAATCCTCAGAATACCTCATGCTGTAGTTACTATTGTTAACACCGTTTGTTACAGATTAAGAAGCTGAAGCTTAGAAAGGTTAAGTACCTTGGAGGTCAGAGAGCTAGAGATGGCTAAGTTGAGTATAAATTACGGTTTCCTCCTGGTCCTTGTGTGACAGACATTGGCACGTCTTTACCCCCGTACTACGACTACTAATGGATTATGTTAGGACATACGATTTAAAAACTTCATTGCTTTTCACTAAAGTGTGTTTCACAGAGCAGCCGATAAAGTATAGGAAATAAGCCATGTGGTGTTTGGATGCTTGGTGTTAAAGCAAGGGAGCAGCTGAGTGTGGTCTCGGAAGACCGACCTGACCAGCCCCACTGTATGTTGTGAGGGTGAGGCTGATAAACCCTGGGACTTGGCCTGGATGGGTGACATTTTCTAGTCCCTTAGAATGGATCTTTGCTACATTCCTTTAGGCTGGCTCTGCCTGTTGGTTCCAGTGCATTTGGAAAGTTTTCGGGAAGGTTCTCAGTGGGCAGCCTTGGAGACAGGGGCTCGTGGCTGTGACCCAGGTTCCCTGCCTTTCCTTGAGCGGCATGTGCTGCAGGGGTGGTGGGGCGGGGAGCGGGAGCCTGTGAAGGAAAAAGTTGGGTCAAGAGCACTCTGTGAAAGGGGTTAGCCTGGCCCGGGATCAAAGGCTTGTTCAGAGTGAGCAGCTTGTGGGAGCGCTGCTTGGATCTAGAACAGAGGTCGGGGAGGCCTGGGAAAGGGCTCCTGCAGAAGTGACCTATGGAGCCCTAGAACCTGCAGGGGTTTCTGTGACTTAGGGTAGAGCTTGAGGGGGCAACAGGTGCTCACAGACGGCAGAGGCCACCTGGCAGCTGCCCCAGTCTCCCCACCCCGGACCCCAGCAAGCTGCAGAGGTTTATGGTCATGGTGCACCAGAAGGGCCACCGGGATAGAAGCTGAGGGATGCAGTTTTGGACCCAGTCTTTATTAGTGTTGTGAGAAATTTTCCAAAAATCTTTTAGGCATTTGGTTATGAAGGTAAGTTCCCCCTGACGGGAATTCCAGTTTCCACAGCTTATTTTTTTATGTTGTTTTACAGTCGTTCTGTATTTGTACCTTCTCCCGGGAGACCTGAGGTCAACAATCGGAACCCTGTTTTATAGTGGTCATCACCAGCAAGAAATTGGAACACTGCTCCTGGCTGTAACCCAATATGCAAGTTTTGAGGAAACATTCTTTTTTTACATTAATTTTATTGGTGCACTCTATTTATTTATTTATTTTTGGTACCAGGGATCGAACTCGGGTCCTTGTGCTTGTGAGGCAGGCAGCGGAACCACTGAGCTGAATCCCCAGCCCTGGCACGCTTTAGGTAGACAGAAAGGTTGCATTCATCCTAGGGAATTTGTACCTGCGCGTGATATATGTTGATTCTTTTTTTTTCCCTAAACCCTCGCTCCTCCCTTCAACTCCCTCCTTTTTTCCATTTTTTCCTTCTATTCTCTCTTTTCTTTCCCTTCTTTCCTTTCTGACTCCCCACTCCCTTCTTCTCCTTCCCACTTGAACATTTTCTTCCTGATTCATAATATCTGTTATACACTTTGGTCCTTATTTACCCTTTTGGTTTTTCACACCAGAGAAAAATGTGATATTTAAACATATGTATCCAATTTTTTTCACTTGAGTATGGTTTCAAGGCGCACCCATCTACCTATAAATGTTTCAAGTTTATCCTTCTTTATGGGGGAGGAGTACTCCATTGTATTAAAAAATAAACATATCTTCTTTATCCGTTCATCCATTGATGGGCATTTGGCTGATGAAACATTCTTAAAATTAATTCTTGGGCACTGAACTTTTTTTTCAACTGATTTTGTAGAATCCACAAAATCTGAGAGGTGTTTTCCCAAGTGATCACAATGGTTTTAAAGGTACTTAGTACTAAGTGTCCCTCTGGAGTATAGGTCATGACTCTGACCACAGCTTAAATACAGAAACTATGGCCTCCATGAGCTGGCGAGATGAAGGGATTTTAGTCGCTTACCTTATCGCTGGGACAAAACACCCGAGACTCGTAACTTAAAGAAGGGGAGGTTTATTTCGGTTCATGTTGTAGAAGTTTCAGTCCTTGTAGGATTGGTGGCATGGTTGAAGAGCCCAGGTGGCGGAAAGCTTCTCACCTTGTGCAGGACAGGAAGCAGAGAGAGAAAGGAGGATCTGGGGAGGGAGATGCACCCCTGCAGGCCACACACCCCGTGGCCCACCTCTTCCTACCTACAAGACCATACCTTCCCAAACCAAGCCAGACACAGAGTCCCATAATCCTATCGCCTTTCATTGCCCTGCCTCTGAGTGCAAGAGGTGCTGGGGGGCACACCCAGACGTAAACCACAGTAAAAGGGAGGACCATGTCATTGGGGTGGCCGGCTATGCTCAGCAGCTCAGGTGCTTTTCCTAGGAGACAAACACTGGCCCAGAAAGCAGCCCTTCTGTGTGGTGCAGCTCTGATACATGTGGGCTGGGCCCAGAAGGGGAGATGCTGGGTTCCCTGTTGATTCTGAGTGTCATGGTCCTCTTTTTTTTTTTCCTCTCATTGCTGTGGATTACCAGCTGAGATGCTGAGACAGAGGTTGGAAGACCTGGAGCATGAGCCAGGCCTCCTGTCTGTGGTGCTCCCATCCCTGCAGCCAGCCCTCAGCAGCTTCCTGGACTACCTGGTTGCAGAGGCCCAGGCCACCCTGCACCGAGCTACCCAGCCGTGAGTACCTGGGGTCACCACCTCTTTCCCCACACTTTTCTTCTTGCAATGAAGAGCTGGGAAGGCTTGGCCATCAAGACACTCACCTGCTTTTGTTTGGGGGAAGTCCCTCATTTTGGGGTATTTTTCTACCGAGATCTGTTTTCTGAATGGACAAGTTCTCACATGGTCTTCCTAGAGCAGGTGACTCCCACTTTTCTTCTCTTCTCCTCTGATACTGTAGTGTCACCTCGTCCACCCTCCTTTTCCACTTGGTACCCTCTCCAACTTGACTTTCTACCTCATTCTTCCTTTTGTTAACCTTTGGGGTTGTTTCTTGCTCTCCACACCAGTCTACTTTGTCAATGTATTGTGTTCCTATTTATTTAACAAACATACGCAGAACAGTTACTAAGGGCTTTAGAAATAACTAATTTAATTTTAAAAACTTTATTGAAACAAAATAAGGTTAACATTTACCTCTTAAATCATCTTTAAATAGACAGAGCTGCGGCATTGAGTATGTTTGCAGTGTACAATTTCCCCCGTCCATCTTCAGAACTTTGTCATCATGCAAAACTGAAGCTCTGGCCCCGTTAACCATTCCCTCTGCATCTCCCTTCCCAGCCCCCGGTAACCATCATACAGAATTTATCCTCTTGTGGTTGCCTTAGGATAATGTCCTCACCATGTTGTAGCCTGTGTTCGAATTTCCTTCCTTCTTAAGGCCGAACAATAGTCCATTGTACAGATAACTTGGGCTCCCATGGCCGAGCTGCAAAGGCTTCTGTTATTGTCTCTTTAGCCTGACATGCGGCTTGGATGGAGAGTAATGTTTTGCTACGGCCTTGGCTGGATTTCTTACAGAACCTTGTTTAACTAAAATAAGAGTGTCCTTACATTTGACCATTTTGGGACCTAGCAAAATAGCAGTTTCATAGGATTCACCCTGGCATGTCTTCCAAAAAGTACAGGTCTTTATTGCATATCTGTTAAGCGAGTATTAATGCTGGCACCTTCTCTCCCTTTCCTCATGGGAGTTACCCATTTGCTGTGATTTATGCCTCATTCACTTTTGAGCCTCTGTGACCTGTGTTCTTGCGGTTACCTCCTAGATGTTCACCGCCGTCAGCCATGGGCTTCTGTGTTTTGAACTTGAGTAGCGCCTTCCATTCTATTCTGCATGGTGCCAGTGTCTGTAACTGTGGTCACGCTGTGCTTTGGATTCTGTTCTGCCTTCTCCTGGTCCTGCTGCCTCCAGCTGTCTCCTCGCCCCCCGCAGCCAGGTCCCACTACTCTGTGTGCCCACACCAACGCGCCTCCCCTCCGCAGTAGGCTGTGTTCTGTCACTGAATGGCGCCCTCTATGCGTCAGGTGCTGTCTGCGCAAGGTCCCAGTGGAGCGGCAGCTCAGGCAGTCACCACCTGGGGGGCATCTCCCTCAGCTCCACTGAGTTATTCCTTTATCCATTAAAATGCACTCCCTTTTTATCCTCGCCTTTCTGAAGTTTACTCTTTTAAAACTAACCCCACGAAACTTACCGTCCTCTCTCCAGTCAGCCCTTAGAGTGCCCACATCGTGGCCTCATGACCTTGGCCTGTGCAGTGACCCCAGGGGAACTCCGAGGCGTCCCTGCGCTCCCTTCCCCATTCCCCAGCCTGCTAGCCTCTGAGTCCCGTTGCCACTCCTGTCCACCTCTCATCCCTGCACCCTTCTCGCCTCCGTGGCAGCGCCTTCCTCCCTCGCGGTCTGTGAATGTCCTTCTGGCTGGTGCTCCTGACCACGTCATGGCTCCTGCTCACCTGCATCTGCAGTGACACAGATAGGGACCTCAGGCCAAGCTCAGTGGTTCTTATTGCACTCAGGGTGAACTTCATGCTCTTAGAGTGACATTCAAAGCTCCGCCCGGCACTGCCGCATGGCTGAGAGTCCTCTGGTGCCCTGTATGTTCCCATGTCCACCACCGTGTGCTGTGCACTGTCACCTTGACACGGTGAAGCTGCCCTCCTCCCAGTGTCCTGCCCGGCAGCCACATGCCACCCTGTGACTCGTTGCAGCCCGAGTGGCTGCACCTCTGCTTAGGTTTCAAGCCTGTTTCTCAGAATGTGTGCTCCCTTTGCTGGGCAACAGGGCCTAAGGACCAAACTGTCCTGTGTTTGCCTCTGTCACTGAGGTTAGTGGCAGTGCCACATGTGTATGTGCACAGGATCACAAACTCATGTGACATGGAGAGATAGAGAGGAGAGGGAGGGGAGACCTCCTCAGGCTCCCTGAGGCCCAGCGAGATCAGGAACCTATCTTCTGTCCCGTCTCCTTCTCTGCCCAGCTGAGGGTGGCTTGGTGTGGCCCCCTATCATCTGCTTCCTTGCTCCCTTCAACAGAAAAGAAAGGATTGATTTAGTTCCCTGTTTTCCAGGCCTTAGTTACTTATGTATTGTCATAGTTTTTCTTTTGATAACTTCACCTGTCCTGTTATTGCCACGCCTAGAAGAAAATGACTTGAAAACTACTTCTACTACTTCTTTATCACATCTTTATAATTCTTGCTAACGTGATCGCACAGTTCCTGATAATGAAGGACTCCTATGGCCTGTGACATCTGCCCCCACGTGGGGTATGGAACTGGCAGGTTCCGGTCAGGGAGACTGCGGTTCTCGTAGTAGACACCAGAATGCGTCCCGAGACACAAACAGGGCTTTGAGCCCTGGGAAACAAGACATTTTCAATGAATGTCTCTTTTCCTGTGGAAATAAAATAGTTTATCAACATGGCCAATTTTCAACATACCAAATTCACAGAGAAGTACCTCTTAGCCTTTCTGAGGTCAAGTGTTTGAGAATCTGATGATAGCTATAGATGTCTTCAGTCATGGGCCATATAGGCTTGTACAGGCAAACTGCAGGGAGAGGTATCAAAAACTCACAGATCTGGGGCACAGCCAGTCTCTCCTGGGGTGTGGGGAGTCTTTGGATCTTAGGAAACTTTAGGATGAGATTTAAGGAAATGTAAACACCCAGATATAACCAGCTTCTTTAAAAAATTATTTTTATTGTCACTTTGTTTTAAAAAAATCACTATTTAACTAAGATCACACAGTAGTGGGTACAGTCTCATAAATGGCATAGCCAGAATTCAGGTTCTCCTCTGTCCAAATCACAGATTGGAAGACTTAGTTACAGTACAAGGAGCAAAAGAGCGGAGTCGGAATTTTAAAATATTGCATAGCAAGAAAAGAAGCAGAAGGCCTGGGGATGTAGCTCAGTGGTAAAGTGCTTGCTTAATAAGCATGAGACACTGGGCTTGATCCTCATCACTCCATAACCAAACAGAACAACACACACACACACACACACACACACACACACACACACAAAGAAAACAAGAAAAGAGATTTGAAGTAAATCAAGTGCATCCACAGTTCCTGGATGAAGAAACTCACAGGTCAAAAAATTTGTGATGAAGTGTTCAGTATTACTGGATGTCAGCAAGTGTCCCTTCAAATGACAAGGTTCCACTGCATATTCATCAGAGATGTGGGTACAGAGAGAGGGAGATAGGGATGCTTCCCCTGCTGCTGATGGGCAGCCTTTTCGAGATTTCCACTTTGCTTCTAACTTTCCACACTGCCAAGACATCTTATGCTATTCCTATTTTTTATTCTTTGTACGTGTGTTAAATAAGATGATTTGGGCAGCCAAGAACTGCAGAGAAGAAAACAGTTCTCTGGTTTCTTAAGATCTGAGCTTGAGATCTGTGAAATAAACTTGCAGTGAACAGATCGGCCGGAGGAAAGACACAGGTTTTTATTTGATGTTTTATGTAGACACCCAGGTCTCTAGAGAAGAGGAGCGAAGACTCCAAGAAGAGGTTGGACCGGGGCCTATCTGCCGTGTCATGAGGGTGACAGACTGGGAGGCCTGATAAAAGCAGAGGATTTGGGCTTCCTGGGTAGCCTACTGAGGGAAGGCAAATGTGTGCTGGGAATGATGGCTAATAAGGGGTCATTTAGCAGTGTTGTGTTTGTGCACCTCACCTCACTACTCAGTAGTAAAGGCTGCCCTTACTTCCCTGACGGGACTGCAGGGGATATCTTCAGAAAAGGAAATGTATATCTGGTATATAAACAGGTGGGAGAGAATAGATGGCTTTGCCTGAGACTATTTCTCAACTGCTGTCAGCTCAAGGTAGTACTTATGTCAAAACAGCGTATTTTGGGGGTTTCATATTTTTATCCCCTTCAGAAGGTAATTATACAAGTATGTTGATCTCTACTTAATAGGCGGTCTTCAAGAAAGCATTTTCAAGGTGGGATTGGCCCTTCCCAAGGCCAGTTTCCCTCCAGCTCTCTGGTCATCATCTTCACTTGAGATAAGATGGCTGCGCCACTAGCTTCGAACGTCACAGTCTGAGACTCAAGGAGGGCAGCCATAAAATTAAATCACCCCTAGCAGACATCCCCCTGAATTATTTGGACTTCTTGGGATAGACAAGTATAGATTATGTATTTATTCACACAAATCATGAATTTATTAAAGACTGGTTTTGCTCACACAAAAAAATCACTAATTAACTTTTTAATGAAAACATTTACTTCTCAGAACTTGGGCTGGGATATGGCTTGGTGGTACAGCACTTGCCTAGCAACTGTGAAGTCCCACTTTCATTTCTAGCAACACACACACACACCACACACACAAACCCCATTACCTGAACTTGTTAGTATGGCATCCTGAGTCACCCCTTTGTGACCACCCTTGGAGGTCACCATAGGCATCTGGTAGTGGCCATCAGTTGAGGAACCCAAAGTCAACAGCGGTTCCTAGCGGAGAAAGTGGGTGCCCATCCATCATTATAGGCAAGTCCAGTGACTTCTGAATTTCTTGATTTCAGTGGGCAGTTTGCTTCCTCCTCATTCCCTGGGGTAGGCAAACACCGCTCCTGGAAGCTGCTTGTCCTGCTCTGCCAGTAGGTGGCCAATCAGGATCAGGACTGGGGTGCTGCCTATGCAGTCCCAGGGGTGG